CCTCATTCTCCTTGGAAACACCCACATTTCTTCTGCACAAATCAGAAATGAAGCTTAGTTCTGTTACCTACTGTCAGTAGTCACCAAATAAAATCCATTTGCATTGCTTTACCTAATGTCCAGCTGTGTTTAACTTTGACACCTCCATGTAGTCACCTGTTCCTGGGGCTCACTTCTACTGCTCTGCAAAGAGAGTTCTGGAAGGGGACAGGAATTCCCCCTCTCACCTTCCAGGGCTGCAGGTCACCTAGCCTGCTTGGTTGAGGGATAGGAATGAAGAAAGTCTCCCACCGCACAGCCAAATGTCCTCTTACAAACCACTTGACTTTCAATAGTGTTTGGGCACATGACCATGTACCACTGGTAAGATAGGGCTGAGCTCATGGTAATTTCCATCTTAACATGACTATGTTCAACCCGCTTGTTTACCTACACTGAGGCGAATCAAACGGAGGGGAGAGCAGCTTATATCAGGGACAGAGGCTCTCAGGAGCAAGAGGGAGAACTGACTTAGAAGACAGGGCACTGCCAGGGCAATGGGAAAGGCATGGCCGAGCACTGCAAGGGGACAGACTGCGAGAATACAGCTACAGGGCTTGGGTGGGGACCGATGAGAAAAAGAGCCAAGCAGTACAAAAAGGGGGAATGTGAAAGGACAAGGAAGGTGACATCATTACTTGTTTCCTTGTTCACATTTTTCTGTTTGGCTCAGTCCTGCTCTTCACCTTCCATCCAAAAACTTAAAGTAAAATATCTCTATACTGTACTTTCTTTCTCTGCTCCCAGCCAAGAAAAGCTATTTCTTGTTGTATTTCTTCTCTTCCAATTATTCTGGCCTTGCAAAAATGTAAATCAAAGGAGAGGGGCAAGGAATTGGTCACTTCAGTATCTCTGGGTCTCAGTTTAATCATGAGAGTTTTGGACTGGATTCATAGTCCAGCAAATGTTTATTAAATGAGTACTATGTCCAGACACTGTCTATTTGCTAGGGAAGCATTGTATCTCCTTCCTGGAGCTTACATTGCTGTGAAGGTCACATTCAATAAGCAAATTAAAATGTAACAAAATTAAGATAGAGAGGAAAAGTAGTATTCATATGGTTGTTAGGAAAGGGTTTCGAGAGAAGGTGACAGTTGAGCAGGGATGTGAATGAAATAAGGGAACAAGCCACAGGGGAAGAGAATTCTAGGCAGAGGGAACAGCAAGTACAGAGGTCCCAGCATGGGAGTGTGTTGGCGTGCGTGGGCAGCAGTGAGGAGCACACAGTGAGGGATCTGGAGAAGGAATTCAGTGCCAAATCACATAGAGCCCTGTAGGCTACAGTAAGCACTCTGGAAATTTCTCTAATCATGATGGACATTTATTGAATATTTGAGAGCACAGGATGACATGCTATCACTAGTAAAAATAAGAACTGATATTTGTATAGTACTTCATGTGTGCCAGTTTCTTTTCCAGTTAACTCATTTAATTTTACAACCACCCTCTGATATAGACATTACATTATTAATTAATTAGTCAATCATACAGATGATGAAACTGAGGCACAAAGAAGTTAAGTAAGTTGGCCAGTTCTAGTAATATGTTATAGAATTTGATCTTGAACCCAGGTGTTCTGGCTCCATGGTCCTTGCCCTCAATCCATAGCCTGTATTTACCCTGATTTCCATCGATAAATCACTCGGGAGGGTGAGAAAAGGTCCTGGAAGCATGAGTTTAAGCATGGGGCCAGTGAAGGGAGAGAGGACAGTGATGTGGGACTGTGGTGGTTGTGATGGAGAAAAGAAGCAGTGGTCAGGTTTGGGATGTGTTTTGAATGTAGAGGAAATAGAAAATTTGCTGCTGGATTGCAGATGAGCTATGAGAAAAAGTGGGGGACTAATGATGAATTCAGCTTTTTGGCCCGAGCAACTGGGTAAAACATGTTGCTTACAAAGCAGGGAAGACTGTAAGAGGTGGTAGTTTTGTGAGGGGTGGAAATAGTTGTTTGTGTTTTTGTGGGTTTTTTTTTTTTTTGATATGTCAAGTTTGAAATGTATATGAAACATCTGAGAAGACATATAAAGGAAGCAATAGGGTAAATAGAGTCTGGGGTTCAGACTGTAGGTTTAAATTCTCTAGTCATTGTCACACAAAAGTTTGAGACTGCTATATGCCTGCATGTGATCTCCTAGGGAAGGAACATAAGCACACTGAGGATCAGCTTTGGGGCATTCTAACCTTCAGAGGTGACGAAGAGGTGAAGGATCCAACAAAGGAGTCCAGAAAGGAGCAAAAGATGAGTCAAGGGAAAATCAGAAGTCAGATAGGAACAAATTTGAAGGAGAAACTGATCAACTCTATCTAAAGCTGCTGATAGGTCAAGTAAGATGAAGACCGAGAACTAACCATTGAATTTGGCAAAGAGAAGGTCATTAGCTACCTGGACTCTGAAGTGTTAGGGCCAAGACTCTGAATTTGATTGGGTTCAAGGGACTAGCAATATTCTGAGGCATATGAGTAGAGATAATCTGAAAAAAGAGGTGGGGGATAATAGCAGAGGGAAGAAGAGAGTAATGCATTTCTAAATACTACAATCAATTTCAGAATATTTTATTAAGCATCTCCTACACATCCAACATCGTTAGGTACTGACGCCACTGAGTTCGTAGCTTCATTCATTCATTCTTTTAGGGGGAAATTCATTGAACGCCTAGTATGTGAGTTCTAAAACATTTTTTCTTAACTGTTACAATAACATTTTGACATTAAAGCAAATTTAAAAAGTATGCCTATACCTCTCACAATCCCAACACTTAAACACTTCTCCACATTTTTTTCAATTACTGGACGTATGTTTCCATAACTTTTACGTGAAGTTATTAATTAAATCGTAAGCCTTTTTTCTTTGTAGACATATTTTCATAAAATGTTGATTTGACAGCAGATCTTTTATTGTGTGAATATACAGCCTTGCTTTCTCATTTTCATTCCCAACCATTGATGTTGTCTTCAAATGACAACATATGATGCAATATATACATTAGACAAAATTATCTGTCTATATGTCTGTTATTCTCATTAAGCAAAGAGTAATCCCTCAAAGTCCAGGACCATATGTGGTTCAATTTTGAATCACCAGCATGTGCCTGGCACAGTCTTGACTTCCAGGAAGCACATGAGACTGTACAGTGGAGCAGCTAATAATAAGAAGACCGACTGCTTCAGTTTTCATCTTGCATTCTCCACTTGCAGGCTCGTAGCTATGGGCAAGATGCAACATTTCTATATCTCATTGATAAATTGCAGATCATAATAGTACCTTATTGTTCATGAGAATTAAATGAGCCGGTATACGCTGCATTGTAACCACCTATATAAGTGCTTGAGAAGTGTATTATGTAAGAACAAAAGTCCATGCCTTGAATGTGCTCAATGAATGAATAATAAATCAAAGAACAGTTTTATTTTTGCTTCGTACAGATGATTTTAAGAATTCTTTTGGATTATTTGCTTTTGGGTTCAGTAACAATGTTGTGAGCATGTATTGTGCGTCAGGTATCCAGAGACAAGGAATCGTTTCCCAGGGTTAATTTTCATAAGGGATATTAGTAAGTGCAATAACAACAATATTTCTACAGCTTGGGTTATCCTGTTATTCTGCCCTGGGGAGTTAAGCTCCTTGAAGGCAGGGCCACGGAGTTTGACAGTTCTGGCCCTCTCTGGTAGAGACTGCCACCTGCTGGTTGCACCTGCCAGTTCATTCGGCACCTTTTCTTCTTTCATCTTTTTCCTTTTTTTTTTTTTTCCTCCTTCGCCTTAATTGCTTTCTCTGGATCTCGATTTCTTGGTTAAATTAATAAGATTCAGTTAGGTGGGAAACTAACTCTAAATGTGGGGGGAAAAATCAAGGAGATGGCGGTGGTGGGCACGGCCTGTGCGAAGAGACACCTGACTGTGGTAGACGGCCTTTGTTAGGAGGTGTCAGAAATGGGGACAGTTGGTGACAGGGCCCTGCCAGTCAGGAAGAAATCGAGGGATTACCACCAACAGAAGGCTCTTGAACAAAGAACAGTGAAAGTCCTTATGAACCGTGTTAGGATGATTACAGAGACGTATCATCTAGAATGAGAGAGAACAGTTGAGGGCTCTGATAGAAATCTGGAGAAATGGGGGCAACCCCGGGTGGCTCAGCGGTTTGGCGCCACCTTCAGCCCAGGGTGTGATCCTGGAGACCCAGGATCAAGTCCCACGTCGGGCTCCCTGCTTGGAGCCTGCTTCTCCCTCTGCCTGTGTCTCTGCCTCTCTCTCTCTCTCTCTCTGTCTCTCATGAATAAATAAATAAAATCTTAAAAAACTCTGGAGAAATGGGAATGAATGAATGAGAAGTAATATTTTTGAGATGATTTCCTTCCATAACTATCATTCATTCATTCATTCATTCATCCATCCATTCCGCATGTACTGGGGGCCTACTTTGTGCCAGGCACCGTGCTAGGCACTGGGTATCCCCCGCCCCCCAGTGGAAAATACAGATTCGGTCCTGCTGTCATGACCATGTGTCTGTCCCACGACTGTCACTCGTGGCGGAGCAAGAGTTCCGGAACAAGGAAAATCGAGTCTTTTCCTCCTGCCGCGCTCTGCGCTGGGCACGCGGTGGGCGCGCGCACATCCTGTCGCCCCAATTGATCCGGGGCCTCGCTGAGTGCGCAGAGCGGGGGGGTCGGGGGGGCAGCGACCCGGCCCCCTCCCCCCCCGTGCCCCCCCCCCGTCCCCCGAGGGCGCGCTCCGGCCGGCGCAGGCGGTGGCAGGGGGCGCCCCGGCAGCCTCGGCCCCGCGCGGCCCCTCCTCGCCGCGGGCGGAGCTGCCCTCGGAGCCGCCCCGCGGCCGCAGCTCGGCGGAGCCCGGGGCGCGGGGGCCGGAGCCCGGGCGGCGGGTGGAGCCCGAGCCGCGCGGCGGCGGCCAATCGCGCCGCGCGGGGGGAGGAGCCCCAAAGGGGGAAAAAGAAAGTGCGGCGGAAAGTAAGAGGCTCATCGGGGGGGACGACCGGCCGGATCGGGGTCCCCGGGCTGCGCTCGGGCCGGACTGGGCGGGAGGAGCCGAGCCGGGCGAGCCTGCCCCCGCGCCCCGGTGCGCCGCGCCCGCTCTGCCCCCCGGGGAAGGTGAGTGTCGCGCGGTCCTGGGGGCTCGGAGGAAGCGCCCCCCCACGGAATCTCGGGGAGGAAGGACCCTCGCGGACCGGCTCGCCCACCCCTCTTCGTTCCCAGGAGGACACGCTGAGGCACAGAGCGAGTGGGATGGGCCGCACCGCCAAGTAGTGCTGTGCCCGGGACTCGAACCCAGCTCGGAGCCCCCTCTCTGCCTTGGGGGGGTTTAGGGACCGCAGTTGGGGGACGGCTGCGCCAGGCTGCACCCCGCGTCCGGCCCTGGAAGAGATGCACCCGCTGCACCCCCGCCCGCGCGGGCTGCTCCGGGGCGCTGCTGCGAGCGGCGTGGGTGGGAGCGGGCGGTGTGTCCCGGCGCGCCTCCTGCCGCTGCCTGCCGCGGTCCCGGCCGGCTGGGGAAAGGCTGCTCGCGGCTTCGCCCCGGCCTCCCCTGACCTGCTTTCTCAGAAGATGCCCCTGCCCTGGGCGTCTGCCGGGCTCCTGGGTGGGGGCGGGGTGGGGGGGGCGCTGGCGCGGGAGGGACGTCGGGGGCCGCGGCCTGGGGTTGGTGCTCGCAGCTGGCCCCCCGCGCGGGGGGAGGAGGCTGGCGGTCCCGTAGCCGAGAGGATGCCCCTCGGTGCGCAATGCTGGCCTTGCGGAGCCCGGGCCCCTGCCCTGCCCCTGCCCCTGCCCCTGCCCCTGCCCCTGCCCCTGCCGGGTGCCGGGAGCGAGCGAGGAAGCCGAGCGTAAGACAGAAATCACAAACCTGAAAAGCAAACTTCTGCTGTTTCCTTTAAGAGCCAGTCGCTAGCGTGTCTCCCCTCCGCTCCCGGTGGCGACATAGAGACCCACCCCCGGCGGAGGAAATAGAGACCCACCGCGCCCGGGAGGCGCCCCGGCCGGGGACCTGGGCCCGGGAGGACGGTTCACCGGGCTTGGGCTCCAGCTCCGCGGAGCAGCGGCTGGGTGAGCTTGGCCCGGCTGGTGGCCCACCTCTCTGGTGGTCGGTAGCCTCGGCAACCTGCAGATTGTGAGGATCACAACGACCCCCGGGGGTAGCTGGGAGGATGAAATGGGATCGTTCAAGTGGTAGGTCTAGCGCAGTGCCTGCCCTGGCATCTGGTTAATTTGAGATTGGTGGTCACTGTTGTAGATACTGCTCTACGCTGACCCTGGAGACAGTGGATTTTCAGAAAGATGATTTCATACTACCTTAAGGTGACTTTTCCTTTCCTTTCCTTTTCCTTTCCTTTTCCTTTTCCTTTCCTTTTCCCTTCCCTTCCCTTCCCTTCCTTTCCTTTCCTTTCCTTTCCTTTCCTTTCCTTTCCTTTCCTTTCCTTTCCTTTCCTTTCCTTTCCTTTCCTTTCCTTTCCTTTCCTTTCCTCTCTTTCCTTTCCCTTCTCTCTCTTTCTTTCTTTCTTTCTTTCTTTCTTCTTCTTTCTTTCTTTCTTTCTTTCTTTCTATTTCTTCTTTCTTTCTTTTTCTTTTCCTTTTTTTAAATCTGGAATGTTGTGGCTTTTTATTTTTCTTATTTGGAGTTTGAACAGCTTTTATAGGAAGTGTTTTCCGAGTGCTGTCTCCGTGTGACTTTGATCATGGCTGCTTGAGTTGGAATACAGAATTATTGTTACTCAGTGATGCCAAGCCCTTTGTTTTTAGGCCAAGCCTCAGGTCCAGGAAGCTCTGATCTGAGGCATCCTTCTTTCCTGGCAAAGAGGGTCTCGAATCTGGTGAAAAGGAGAAAGGCAAGAGAAGTTGGAAGTCCCGTCTCTGTTACAGACTGCGCTAAGCCTTGTATTCTTGCTGTCTTATGTCAGACAAGCAACTTTATGTGTCCTTTCGTGGGGAAAAGAGCAACACAATTCTCATGTATTTCTTTGGGATTATGCTGTGATGTTGCTAAATTCAGTCCCTCTGGATTCAAACTTACCTTATTTAAACATAAATACTACACATGCCTACTCTAGTCTTCCTTAGTTATTGTTCTTTTAAAACGAACTAGCTCCCCTCATATATCGCCACCAGGCTCATGAACATTGATTTTATTCTGATTGACTTCATACAGTTATTTACTACCATCTCTTGGCTGTGCTGTAAGTCCCCGAATTGAGTGTGCAGCATTTAGAGTTGGCTGCCTGCTTCCCAGTCCGTCCCATTTGCGTGGGGGTATTGATGCTGCATGGGAGGGGGTGTGATACATCTTGAGGGGAGGGAGGCACTTGGTGGCGCCCCTCTAGGTACCTCCCGCACCAGCGTTTGCAGAGGCTGGGATCACTTGCTTCCGTGTGCATGCATTGTGATGAGCTGGCCGGGATGCATCTGAACGCGTGCCTGAGGAATAGGGGACTTGTGGGGCAAAAGGAAAATGTTTAAATAATAATAATTTTAAAAAAAAGGTCAGAACAAGGGGATGGAAGGGAGATTGGAAGGTAATTTTTTTAGGTTCTGGTTCTTTTTAAGAAAGGTTACCCAGTCACACCTTGCCTCCTTATCCAGATTGTTACAAAAGCCATACATACATATATAGAGAACTTTAAAATTTCCAAAGCATGGTCCATATGTATTCTCTTTCTTGCTCCTGGGGTAGCCCTGGGAGAAGGACATGGCAGGCATATTATTGGTGGCAGGGGCTCAGGTTTTGTGGTCAAATTCAAACTTCAGCCCTAATGCCTCTGCAGCTAGGAAATACTGAGTGATTTATTTCACCGATCAGAGCTTTGGTTTTTATCCAGTTCTAACATGGTAAAGAAAATGCTTACCCCAAGGATTTGTATGAGGATAAAATTAAGTGGAATAATGCAAAGTGTATGTAGTGAATAGGTGCTCATTAAAGATCTCGTCTTGGCTGATCTCCATTTTACTGAGAAAGAGAACAAGTGAGACTCAGAAAAACAAGAGAGATTGCCCAGAGTCACATGGTTATTACGTTTCAGCCCTGGGAGTACAGTTCCCACCTTGTAACTTCTAGTTAAGGGCTTTTCCTGTCACACCCCGTCACCTCTCCAATGAGTTCTTTAACAATTTATGTTAGTTAGGTTGATTTTATTGGGCTGGTGACTGCAGGGTATCCTTTCTGTCCCAAAGAGGATATTTCCTTGCTGAACGAACAATCTATAAACAGGCTCTTTGGAGGTTAGCAAGGCCAGCTCTCCAGAGAGGAAGTTCAAAAGCCTGGATCTCTAAGGCAATCTTCCTCCTCTTCTGCATTTGATGTAGAGCACCTTCCACTCCTAAAATGAAGGGACCTGTGAAGACATAAAGTTCAGAATGATATTACATATTTCTTCCTGTTCTGAGTGGTTTTTTTTTTCCTTCTGTCATCCTTGTGCTAATTCACAGGGTAGTAGGAAGATTGAGGAACAAATGTCATGAGTGGCCAGAGTGTTCTTCTCTCTGTCCCTGATTCTGTGGGTGCAGGATGGAATAGAGAGCAGTATGCAGAGGCAGCATTTGCAGAAAAGACCACTCGCCGCTTGCTGGCGGTGCTGATCACTGGTCTGGAGCCTCAGTCCTCCCTGTGGGAGCTGATGGCTGCAGGCTTCTGTAGGAAAATGAACAGATCTGTTTCTGGCCCAGGCAATGGGGCCATTTATCCGTTGAGACTCCCCACAGGCCGTCGGGTTTCTCTGCAGCAAGCAGGCAGGCTTGCAAATGTAGTTTCTGGGAGAAACGTTTTGCTCCTTGCTTTTGGCATTTGGAAGCATGTGTTTGCTTTTGCCAAAAGGTAGCCAGTTAGCGTCGTCTTACCTGGCACTGTTAGAACAGCAGAATGTGGCTGGAGGAAATCAGCAGAGGAGGAAAGAAAGAACATAAAGGTTATCTGCAGCACACACACAGTTTCATTTGTTGCTCAACTTTGTCAGGGCTTCTGCTGGTGACACAGATGTAGGATCTGGTGAGTCACTGTCGCCTTGCCCGTGAAATATTACAGAGAGCCACCTACTGTGCTCTTTGCCCATTTTGGAAATCGTTCTGGGAGAGAAATAAAAACCTCAAAGAATGGGAAAGTTACAGAACATTTGACACCTGATATTTGGGGGGGGGGGTTAATTCAGGTTAGCTACTCATTGGCTCAGGGTTTGTTTGTTTTCTTTTTTTTAGGAAGTGAGAGTGCACTGATGGGGTTGTGGCCTTGATGGGGAGACCTCCTGGTAGCCTGACTTGATTGTGCCTTAGCTCTGGCACCAGAGGCAGCGTGGAGCTGTAGCGTCTGACAGGTCCCCGAGGCAAGTTAGTGTACTGCGGTGGGCCTCAGGCTCCTCAGCCAGGACACAAGGGCCCCAACGCCTGCCCGGAAGCTGGGGTCCCTACCCCAGCACCTTATTCACGGGAGGCATTTAATAAACACAAATTATTTCTTCTGCCATTGGTTCTTTCAATTTATTTGTCTGTTAAATTGTGAAAATCAAAATTTAATAGCTACTCTCTCCTGAACTCCATCATGGATCGTACTAAGTGCTTTATGGGTATCACCTCATTGAATCCTTGCAATGATCCTGTATGGTTTTGGAGGCAGCTGAAGCTCAGAGAGGTTAAGAAGGTGAGAAACACCTGAAATCGTGTGGCCTCTGGCCTAGGACTGAGGGCTTGGGTGAGGACACCCCCCACCCATCTCCATCCTGCCATTCTGATTGGGGTCTTCCCTTGCCTGTGACTTGAGAAGTCTCTGGTGCTGGACCTCAAATGTGAGGGAGCTGTAGCAGATGATCCCCAAGGTTCTTCTGCTGCAATACATTGTTATTTTTCTTTAAAATTCCTTTCAACTGGGATGCCTGGGTGGCTCAGTCAGTTAAGCTTCTGCCTTCAGCTCAGGTCATGATCTCAGGGTCCTGGGATCCAGCCCCACATGCCCGCAACACCCCATGGCACTGGGCTCCCCGCTCAGTGGGAGAGCCTGTGTTTCCCTCTCCCCACGCCCCACCCCTGCTCTTTCTCTCTCTCAAATAGATAAATAAAATCTTTTTTTAAAAAAAAGATTCAACTCTGAAATTCTGTCTCCGTATATCTTTGTGAAAGTT